ATAGTAGGAGAAGGGAAGCTAGTGAAGTTGCCCTGGAGCTAGTGATTCTAGAAGGTTATGCACTGTTAAATGTGCCATATGCAAAGAAATTGGGCACAACAAAAGGACTTGTCAAAGGGCTTAAGTGAAGAGAAAGGGTAAATCTAGCTCAATTAGTGGTTCAAGTGTTTCTACAATAGGGCAAACAAGTGGGGTTGAAATAAGCCAAGAAAGTGGAAGAGGTTCAAGCCTAGGAAAAGGAGTTTTTATTAAAGGAAGTGATCCTGGTTGCAGTTGCACAAGTAGTAGTGGAGGTGCAGGTAGTGGAATCCCAACTGGAAGAGATGCAAGTGGTAGAGGTTCTATTTCAACAGCGGTAGGGGGACAACATGTAAGTATCACATACATTGTGAACTTGACTATTGAATGCATTGAAACATTACTTATTTAGTGTCATTATATTTTTATTTAATGTGATATTGTAGGATGGAGGGCAACCTAGAGTGCAACCCAGTAAATGGAGTGTGTCTTGAGCATGGTATTTGACTCAAGTATTGCTTATTTAATAATTAATTGTAATCTTGTTACTCTGTTTGTTATTGTATTCTTGTTACAGAGCTAATTTTGTTTATTCTTGTTATTTGTATTAGATGGTTGGAAATTATGCAGAATGCCATTTGAGATGGAACAAGAAATGAATTAAGGTTTTACATTTTTAAACAACTTCTACACGAATAGGTTGTAGAAGTTGTTTAAAATAACAACATGATGTATTTCTCTAAATTGAGAAGATGTCCCCTTATGTGTTTTGTGACGGGGAACAAGATTATGTATGCTCATTTATTTTTGGCCATATGGGCATTAATTGTTATTAGCACTTTGGGTTCACTTTGTGAAAATAGAATATGAAGATATTGAACTTATGCATCCTCTTTTTTTGCTTTCTTTTTTTTTTTTTTTTTTTTCTCTTGCTCTATTTTTTTTTTTTTTTTTTTTTTTAGTCCCTCTGCTTTTCTCAATGAGTTTGATTGAGATTCATTTGCCTTTTATAAGCAGCTTCCAACAACTACCCTCAACAGCTATATCTGTTACATGCAAATGAAATGTAGATGCAAATAAAATGGTGATGTGTTTTCTATGATTGGACATGTATCAAAGTTTTTTTAAGATATTGGTAATTATAAAAAAGATGCATAGGTCTCACAGAGGGTAATTTAGTCAATTAAACTTTTTTGGTTGATGTCATCAAGATTCTTTTGATGGCTCTAATGGACAAATGACGGCAGGAGAGTTTCTGTGATGCAATTGTTAATCTCAAGAGTGGGAATGTAATTTTTCGAATGTGAAGGGAATATCTGTATTAAACATAAAGTTAAGGGGTGTCAGTGTAATTTATCCTAACTATATATACAAATATGTAAGATATTGATAGTTTTGTTAGAATAATTTCCATTAATTTCAGGAGTTGAATTTTGAGTTAATTAATTAAAAGAAATTACAGAGAACCTTCACTTTGAAAAGTATTAGCATGTTCTGATTACAACCTACTGGACAAAAGGCTCCACTAGCATTCTAATTTATTAATTGTTGTTATCTTCAACAACTTCTACACGACACCCAATTGAATTTAAGGTTTTACATTTTTTTTACTTGGTGATTTAACTCGAGGTATCAAGGGTTGAGATCTGGTCAAATTAATGGTGCCAAAGTTCACTAGCATGCTAAGTTCCACTGGAGTACCCAAGGGGTGGTTACAGGGGGCCACAGCCCCTGCAAAGATCGAAAGAGTTTCATTAGTTTGTAGTGTTTTGGGCTCTTGACTGGCAAATTGCAATAGGATGGCCCCTCCAAAAGGGAAAGAAAAAGGTCTCAAGTTTTATATATTTTCCCCATATTTTAATGATTTTTGAGCTTGATATGGTTATGGATCTCCTAAATATTAAAGTGTTATAAAACAAGTAGTCTTTAGTTATTTATAATTGTGTTTAGTGACGAGTCATTGTAATTGTTTCTAATAATGAATTGTGATCGTTTCATATATATATATATATATATAAATATATTTAAATCTATTAGCTAATATGGGAGATGTTTATGTTATGCACATTTTTATAGGGGTATCAACTGTCTTCTTCTACTCTAATTAACATCTACAACATCAATATGAAACAATATCTATAGGGAAAATTATATTGGTGGTCCCTGTATTTTATTCATTGTTATTTAAATTTTGTTTTAATTTGGTCCAATTAATATTATTGTTAGTGCTTTTGAGATTAACTAAGTTGTGTAAGTTTATAGTTTTGTCTTTAAAAATATGGCACGTGACACTTATGTGTGTATTTTTCTTAAAAAGATACGAAGAGCAACAATCACAACCTCGCTTGGGAACATGCTATTTTAGTAATTTTTTGACTTTTTACGAAAAGATGTACAGAAAAGTAGAGAGAGCGATAGACAACTTGTAGTGACTTTTTGACTTTTTGGCTAAACTATAAGGTTGCCAAATGAGGCCTCATAAATTTAAGGTCAAAATTGAGTCAATTAAAAATATAAAAACTAAAATGACATAAAGAATAAAGTACATGGACTATCGTCGTAATTTACCCATATCTACGTGATCATTTTTCTTATTTTTTGTTTTGTAAATCTTAATATTGATTGAGAATTTTTTAAAAATATATACTTTCAATATAATTTAGAAACGATGCTTTTGCTACGGAAATAATTAAAACTTTATTATCAATTATGAGTTGGCCCTCTCATTATTATAATTCCTGCGTCCACCATTGCTATTGTATTTTTAAATGCAATAGAAACTATCACATGTCTATCTATAAAGAGGTATTGAATAGGAGCAAAAGAATCCCTACCTCTTGGAGTGAAGATGAGACAATCCAAAATCACTGGCGACGAAACAATGATCCGCTCAGATTAAATGGAAGCCCTTGTTGAGCTTTACATTTTGGTATATGGAACTAGGGATAAAAGATGTTTAGAAATAGATGAAATCAAAGTTAAAAAGCTTAGAAACTCAAAAATGGCGGAAAGAGAGAGAAAATAGAGTAAAAAGTGAAGAGATTTGACCCAAAAAGTGACTTTTAAAGATTTAATTTTGGACAGACTGTTCGAGCAATTAAACTTGCGCTCGAGCGAATTATGTACACCGCACAAATTCGTAAACTGCACAAATTCGTAAACTTCAAATGGGCATAATTCTCTCGTCCGGACTCTATTTAGGGTCATTCTTATATCCAAATTGAAATCCAAGTAAGATTTCCAATGGTTCTAAAAAGTTGACTTTTTTAACTTTTTTATTTTTTTTATGAGAAAAAAAAAATAAGTTAAAAATTAAAAATTGACTTTTAATCCACTTCCTAAAATGAGCCAGATTGGATCAGCCTAGGCTAGTCCACATACCAAAATCCTACGCCCAATTCGGCCTAGACGGGTGAGTAGATGGATCAATGAGTAGGTCCGTCGGTCTAGTGACAATTTATAAAAATTATGATAAAAAAAAAAGTTATTAATTATAAATTTTAAGAATAATTTATAAAAATTATAACAAAAAAATAATTAATTGTTAATTTTTAACAATATATACAAAAAATCAGCGTAAAAAATTATTTCTAGCAATGATTTTATTAGAACCTATTTCCAATAAAACTTGATGGAAATTAAATCCGATAATTAGAACCTATTAGTAATTTACCCTTATTTTTTTTGCACGAATAACCTAATCTACAGACGTTTTGAATTATCGAAATGCCCGAATAAAGTCCACCAAACCCGCATAATTAAAAAAAAAAAAAAGCTTAGAAACTCAAAAATGGCGGAAAGAGAGAGAAAATAGAGTAAAAAGTGAAGAGATTTGACCCAAAAAGTGACTTTTAAAGATTTAATTTTGGACAGACTGTTCGAGCAATTAAACTTGCGCTCGAGCGAATTATGTACACCGCACAAATTCGTAAACTGCACAAATTCGTAAACTTCAAATGGGCATAATTCTCTCGTCCGGACTCTATTTAGGGTCATTCTTATATCCAAATTGAAATCCAAGTAAGATTTCCAATGGTTCTAAAAAGTTGACTTTTTTAACTTTTTTATTTTTTTTATGAGAAAAAAAAAATAAGTTAAAAATTAAAAATTGACTTTTAATCCCCTTCCTAAAATGAGCCAGATTGGATCAGCCTAGGCTAGTCCACATACCAAAATCCTACGCCCAATTCGGCCTAGACGGGTGAGTAGATGGATCAATGAGTAGGTCCGTCGGTCTAGTGACAATTTATAAAAATTATGATAAAAAAAAAAGTTATTAATTATAAATTTTAAGAATAATTTATAAAAATTATAACAAAAAAAAATTAATTATTAATTTTTAACGATATATACAAAAAATCATCGTAAAAAATTATTTCTAGCAATGATTTTATTAGAACCTATTTCCAATAAAACTTGATGAAAATTAAATCCGATAATTAGAACCTATTAGTAATTTATCCTTATTTTTTTTGCACGAATAACCTAATCTACAGATGTTTTGAATTATCGAAATGCCCGAATAAAGTCCACCAAACCCGCATAATTAAAAAAAAAAAAAAATGGGCATAATTCTCCATTTAGTTTCACTGTGTATTAATTTTCTTGGATAAATTATAAATACATCCCTTGATATTTGATTAAAATATGAATTGTCTTTTATAGTTTTGAAAATTACATTCTACCCCTAAATTTTTTTAATTTCATAACAAATCGCCCATTTTATTAATAAATTATTAAGTCAATTAACAGTTTTTAATGATATTAAAAATATGTTTCAATTAATAATTTAGATAATTTTATTATTGTATAAAAAATTATAACAAGTAAGTATTTGTAATTTTTTAAATCACAGAATCCGTCTGTATTTATTATTTATCCAATTTTCTTTTATAAAACTTGCACACGTGTTCATCTCCTGCAAGCAAGCTTGTTTTCGTCAAAATGTTTTTAACAAATGTCCACCACTCCACCTCTTGCATCATTGCATGACCTGAGCTGAGCTTATATGACTTGTATTAAGCTGACCACAGACCCTTATTTAGTTTCTTCTCCAAAACTGTAGACTCATTCATCTCTATCCTCTCTCTCTCTCTCTCTCTCTCTAGAGTTTGAAGCAGCAGCCATATCCATGGCTGCTTCAAGGTTGTCCCTCAATTTCCCATCTCGGCGTCCTCTCTCCGATTCATTCAGACACTTTCTCGTGATACCCACAATCCTAGCTTTCTTGACAACTATTTTCATCTTCCACTACATCTCATCAACCTCAACACTAGTGATTCATTTACACAACAACCATCATCGCCTTCACGTAAATCCAAAAGAAGTTGTTACAAAGCCTCTGCGTCCTATACCCAACAAACCAATCATCCAAATTTCGCTTCCTAAACGAACTCGGAGTTCTGTTATTGAAATTCACATCTCAAATCACTCGATCCAACTAGGAAATGGTAGTGAAGGAACAACTCTGAAGAGTTCAATCATCGGTTCAATCGGTATGAAATTTCTCACTTCTTATTTGGTTGTGTTTTCTTGTTAATTTTCAGTTAATTTAATTATTTGTCTTGACTTATATGTTATAGTTATTATTATCTATTTTTGTTGAACGATAGGTACGTTTAATTGGTGGTTTAGATAAAAATAACAGTAATACTATATATACAGAAAAATTATTAAATATATATATATATATGTTAAAAAATTTGACCCGTTAATTTATTTTGAAATTAATAGGGATGACATGAATTTTTCTATGTATTTTTTTTAAAAACTTTTTATTCAAGTAATTAGTCTAAAAAAACCAATGTTGGAGTAACAATTTTATGGATTTTCAATTGTTTTTAAGAAAATGTAGAATTTTATCTAAATTTTTTGGAATTTTACAAAATGACCCAAAGGAAATAAGGAAAAGAAACAATTTTTAGGATTTTACAAATTAATTTTTTTTAAGTAGTATTTTAAATGTTTCTAGGTTTTATTTTTACGTGTAATTTGAGAAGTTTAAATTACTTTTGTTGTTGTGAATAAAAATATATATGTTTATGTTATTGTATTGTATCATGTAAAATTAATTTTATTTGGTTGTGTAGAACTAAAATGATGAGAATGATCCATCGACTATTGTCTCAAGTTTTCAAATTACAAAACAGTGCATATAAAGAAAGAACAACACATTGCTATCAAAATATAAAAAAATAAAAATAAAAAAATTATGTCACCAAGAACAGAATAAAATCCATAAAAACAAAATCGAGAAACTTATAATTCATAACTTATCTATAAGAAGAAAACAAATTAAAGAAGTCTCTAAAAACTTATCTTATTAGTCGAATCAAAGTACGAAGAAAGTTTTATAATAAAAACAAATAAATAAAGCCTTAAAGTTTTTAAGAGAAAGTTGACGTTTACATTTTTATTTTTTTAATTTTGTTGCCGCCTCATTGCTATCCATCTGTCGTAGCTCGTGGCTGTGAGTGAATCTTTTTATTATTAGATTTTTATTTTTTTAATTATTTTATTTGAATGATCCTATACCTTGAACGAGTTTAAAAAATTTCAAGTCCAGCCAAACTTATTACAAATTATAATTTATTCAAATGATTTCGTTGGACTTGCATCATACTTTTGGCATGAAGTGCAAGAAACTAGCCTTGTTTTATACTCTTTATAACTTGAATTTTAATTTGCTGCCAATTTATTTTTTTAATAAATAAACCCATTATTTTTCAGAAAATTACAAGGGGCATCCTTAATTTACATAGGTACAATTTTTTCTCCCTTCTTAGTTAAAAATGTTACATAATCTAAATAGAGCAAACCAACTTGGTATTTACCACCCTAGTCTTAGGGAGCTTATAACCAATTCATCAAGTCGAGGGTTCAATCCTCGACATCTCATACCCCCTCCCTCATAGGTTAAAAGTAAATTTTTCTTTTTCTTTTTCTTTTTATCCTTGTTCTCTTGACTATCATGAGAAATTGCGACACATGCTAAATAAGTTATCTTTAAGATAAATTATCAATAGATCCTATTTTTAAGACTTATTACCCATTAAGATCTATTGATAAATATTTCAAGTAATAAATTTGTTAGTCTCTGTTATTTTTATAAACAAATTTACAGTAGTAAACTTATCAGTTAAAACTTGTAAGTAAATAATTCCAGTTAATATGATTAATTGGTAAGTGCCTCTTATTTTATTCTCACAATTACCTAATAAAAATGAGTCAATATATAAACAATGTTTGCTCCTAAATTAGTGAATAATTACCCTTTCACTAGTAATATAAAGAATGGATAGAACGAAAATTTTCTCTTGAAATTCTAGATATAATCGGTGTGATTATGTATTGATATTATGTTTGATAATATCTCACAAAGATATGAAATTACTATTTGATAAGGGTCATTACAAAGATTGCATATACAATAATCATAAATAGATAAATAATTAATAAATCAAAATATTTCAAAGCTAGATAAATGTTCCAAAAACATGCTTAAGGTATGATATGGTTAAAGTTATTCAAATATAATTGAGTTCTTAAATATATTTAGGAAAACTCTTAGGATGATATATAATTTATATATATATATATATATATTATTTATCATGAACCAATAAGCTTTGCCTAAAGAGATTGAACTCATTGACTTTCCAAAGAAATAAAAAAATATTAAGTGAAAACATGTTACATATTTGACTGCACCTAGAGTTGAAAGCCTGTTGCTGGCTGCAATTCTTCAATTTTGGAAAATTATTGGAAAAATTACATGTCAGTAAAATAGATAAAAGAAAAATTATATAGATATGTAGCGATATAATTTGGACTTGCGTCTTTATAACTTTTGAGTTGTACTTCACTACCTCTCATATTTTATAATTTTTTTTAATCTTTTCTAAAATTATTTAATAGCTCAAGACATTAATGATAAAATGTCATTTCATAAAACGTCCCAATCACTCAATTTATTGACCAATTACAATTACTATGGGGATCATATGAATTGGAAAATGTTTGGGAATTCTTTTTGGGTAGACTTTCATTATCCTAATAATGGTGTGCATCAATAATGTGTTCGTATTTTTTTTTTTTACTTGGATCAATCACAAGTGAGTGGGGATTGTGAAGATGATATTTTGTGGGGGTCTGAATCATTACTGATATGAATTACAAATGTCATAAGTGCTAACATTATACTAAAATAAGTCCTTTTTTTAAGATTGGATTAAAATAAATCACTAATATATAAGAAAATTCAATAATCATAATCTCAAGACAAGCAAAGTCTTATTAATGTGTGTCACATGTAAAGAAGTTTAAAATATTTACATAAATTTTATTACACATAAATGTATAAATATTTTAAATTTCTTACCATGTAACTACAAAATTCATACCAGAGATAGCTTGTAATAAAAGAAAATAATAAAAAATATCAATACCAGAAAGATCCCGTAATAAAAATGAGAAAAATAATTAATAGTACTTACTTTTAACATAAACTAATTTCAGACCTTTTAATTGAGATTATATTATGATGATTAAATGAATTAGTCTCAATAATTAAGTTAAATTTGTGGTTGGAGTTTAGGAATGAAATTTCAACATGACATAATATGACAACATAAATTATCCGTGAAATTAGTTAGTTAAGGTAACAGTTTTATAACACAAACTCGAATATGATACTATTTAAATAGAGCAAACCAAACTTGGTATTTACCCTAGTCTTAGGAAGGTTATAACCAGTTCATCAAGTTGAGGGTTCAATCCTCCACATCTCATACCCCCTCCCTCATAGGTGAAGGGCATTTTTTTATTTTTCTTTTTATCCTTGTTCTCTTGACCATCATGAGAAATTGTGACACACGCTAAATAAGTTATTTTTAGGATAAATTATTAATAGGTTCTATTTTTAAGACTTATTACGTATTAAGTCTTATTGATAAATATATTAAGTGATAAATTTATCGATTTCTCCTATTTTTATGAATAAATTTACAGTAATAATTTATTAGTCAAAACTTGTAGATAAATAAGTCCAGTTAATATGATTGATTGGTAAGTGCCTATTATCTTTATTCTCTCAATTGCCTAATAAAAATGAGTCAATATATAAACAATGTCTGCTCCTGGATTAGTGAATAATTTCCCCATACACTAGTAATATAAAGAATGGATAGAACGAAAATTTTCTCTTGAAATTCTAGATATAATCGGTGTGATCATGTATTGATATTATGTTTAGTAATATCTCGCAAAGATATGAAATTACTATTTGATTAGGGTCATTGCAAAGATTGCATATACGATAATAATAAATATTTGTTAAAAAAAATACAATAATAATAAATAGATAAATAATTAATAAATCAAAAATATTTCAAAGCTAGATAAATGTTCCAAAAACATTCCTAAGGTATGATATGGTTAAAGTTATTCAAATATAATTGAGTTCTTAATGCTGTGTTTGGTTGGAGTTTTTGAGGTGAGATTTGGAAAAAGAATGAGAAATGTAATCCTATTTATGTTTGGTTATAATAAAAAATATATGGGAAAAGAAAGGGGGTGAGAAATAAATAAAGAAACAGGATACCTTTTAGGACATCAATTCTATTTTATAACCAACACAACCAAACATAGTTGGGATTTGGAATTCTATTAATTCTTTCTCCTTTTCCTTTCATTTCCATTTCCCTTTCCATTTCCCTTCCCAAATCCCCCAACCAAACACAGCATAAATGTATTTAGGAAAACTCTTAGGACAATAATTTATATATATATATATATATATATTATTTATCGTCAACAAATAAGCTTTACGTAAAGAGATTGAATTCATTGACTTCCTAAAGAAAATAAAAAAATATTAAAAGTGAAAACATGTTACTATATAATATTTGACTGCATTTAGAGTTGAAAGCCTGTTGCTGGCTGCAATTCTTCAATTTTGGAAAATTATTAGAAAAATTACATGTCAGTAAAATAGATAAAAAAAAATTTATATAGATATGTTAAAAATTATATAGACATGTAGCGATACAATTTAGATTTACACCCTTATAATTTTTGAGTTGCACCCCACTATATTTTATAATTTTTTTTTTTAATCTTCTATTCTGCATTATTATTTTGTCTACAATTATTAGCTCAAAACATCACGTGGGGGCGAGTTATAAATCAATGATAAAATGTCATTTCATAAAACGTCCCCATCACTCAATTTATTGACCAATTACAATTACTATGCGGATCATATGAATTAATAAAATGTTATTTACAAATTTCATAAGTGCTAACATTATATTAAAATAAGTTTTTTTTTTTTAGATTGGATTAAAATAAATCACTAATATATAAGAAAATTCAATAATCATAATCTCAAGACAATCAAAGTCTTATTAATGTGTTTCACATGTAAAGAAGTTTAAAATATTTGTATAAATTTTATTACACATTTTTTATACAAAATATATAAATATTTTAAATTTCTTAACATGTAACTACAAACTAGAGATAGCTTGTAATAAAAGAAAATAATGAAAATATCAATACAAGAAAGATCCCATAATAAAAATGAGAAAAATAATTAATAGTACTCTTTTAACATAAACTAATTTTAACCTTTTAATTGAGATTCTATTATGATGATTAAATGAATTAGTCTCAATAATTAAGTTAAATTTGTGGTTGGAGTTTAGAAATGAACTTTCAACATGACATGATATGACGACATAAATTATCGGTGAAATTAGTAAGTTAAGGTAACAATTTTGTAACACAAACTTGAATATGATACTATTTAATAACTCGAATATCGAAAGAATTAGTTTAGTATCGAATTTACATAACATGAAATTGATTCGGGTAACTCATTTAATAAAAAAAATTAAGTTACACATTTTAATATCATTTTTACTAAGAGTATCATGACATTTTTGAATTCTTTATATAACTCGATCCGAGTTAAAATAATATCTATTTAAAGGCTAATATCACTACAGCATACAAATTTATAAAGTGAGTGAGAATTTGGTAAATGTCCTAATTGGTTTCAATGTCAAGGTCCTTTTCTTGATCAATGTACAAAGTCCTTGATCAATTTACAAATGGGCCTTATTATTCATAGAGTGGGGTAAACATGATCATGATCAGCCTGGCTGGATTCAAATGAGTTATTTTTCATTTTGGTCCTTAGAAAAAACATTCTCCTGTTTTAGTCCCTATGCTATTTGTCATTTCTTATGCAATTACCAACTTTTGTCACGATTAAAGGGACGATTTTAAAATTTATTAAGTTTTCCATTTGATCCTTAAGGAATTAATTTTCCTAACTTTGATTTATAAAAAAAATTAACATTTTCTTACTTTGATCCTTATTCAAATTAGAACCCAACTTCCCATGCTGTAAGAATTCACAGAAAGTGAAGAATTTTAATGGACTATTTGATGTATAACCATCCTCTATCACATCTTACTAGGTTCAATAGAGAAAAATAAAAAAACTCACAATTTTCACATTGCTTTTTCTTTTTAGGTTGAAAGTAATTTTTTTAAAATATATATTTTTGTTTATCTTTGAACTAATTTATATTTTTTGAATAGAAAAAACAACATACAATTTGAAAATTAAATAAAAAAGGATATGACTTTAGGCATCCCACTACTTTGTTTCCTCAAATTTTTTTAGGATAAATCACAAATATACTTATGAGAAATATTTAAAATACAAATTATTTTTGTAATTTTAAAAATTACAAATAATTTATTATCATAATTTGTTTTATAGAAAAAAATAAAATTCTTAATTATCATTCTATATAACAATGAAATTATTAGAACTATTAATTGAAATATATTATACACTCACAAAGGTGAGTGTATAATAGAATTCTCATTATTATTGTTGTTAGAAAAATGTTTAGGATCTCTTTTTAGGGAGTTCTATGACTCCCAATTTAATCTTGACCGTTGATGTTTGTGTGGAGTCTACTCATATATATGTGAACCACATATTATAAATGATTGTGACGCGAGTATCACAATTGTTAGTATTATTATACACTCACTATTAGTATTACTATTATTTCATCATTGATTACTTGATTTCTTATGAATTATACACTCACTATTAGTATTACTATTATTTCATCATTGATTACTTGATTTCTTATGATTTTACTTCATATGATATATTTCACTAACAACAATTTTACAAATTTAAATGTTTTCAGAGCCAAAATCCCCACCAGAACCTGAATCCCCACCATCACCAGTTCCTTCCAATCCCACCACCACCACCACCACCGACGACGACGATGTGTTCCACAACAGAGAAACCTTCTTCGAAAACTACAACGAAATGAACAAAAGCTTCAAGATCTTCGTCTACCCTACCCCCAAATCCCACCCCTTCGCCAACGTCCTCCTCCCAGTCTCCAGCGATCCAGGCGGCAACTACGCCAGCGAATCCTTCTTCAAAAAGTCCCTCGCCAAGTCCCACTTCCTCACCACCAATCCCTCCGACGCCGACTTCTTCTTCCTCCCCTTCTCCATCGCCACCATGCGTCACGATCGGCGAATCGGAGTGGGAGGGCTTCAGAACTTTGTTAGGGATTATGTTGTGAATGTGAGTAAAGAGTATCCTTATTGGAATCGGAGTGGTGGTGCTGATCATTTCTATGTGGCTTGTCATTCGATTGGGAAGATTGCGATGGATAAGGCGGTTGAAGTTAGGGTTAATGCGGTGCAGGTGGTGTGTTCTTCCAATTATTTTGTGAGTGGGTATGTCGCTCATAAGGATGTTTCTTTGCCTCAGATTTGGCCCAGGCAAGGTGATCCTCCAAAAGTTGAACCCTCCAAAAGGTATCTTTTTATTTTATGCTTTTTAAATTGTTTACCGTTTGTTTATTTAAAATTTAAAAGTGCATTACATTTTATGATGGTCGTCTAGACTCTACGTTCTCACAAAATTATTTGTTAATACTTTTTAAACTGGTAATACGGTGTCACATCAGACGAGATATTATGGGGAATAATCACTTTCCTTTTATGACACGTACAAACATTTTATTCAAAAAATTTCAGACAACGGTTTAGTAAACTTATTTTTAGATCGAATTGATAATTAAATTGTTATTTTTTAAGATTTGTTGGGTAAGATATTTATGTAAAAAATTAAAATAATTAAATATCGATATCTTTATGTTTGAATTAAATTTGTATTATAAAAAATAGATGACATTTGATCACTAAAATTAGCTTCAAAATAAATCTACAAAGTCCAAACACTTTCATGTTGAGATGGCCAACATGAGAAAAATCTAATCGTATAATTTTTATCAAATATTCATGGTGATGTGGGTTCAACATTTAGTAGCTTTTTTGGTAAATATTTTTTGTATGCCAAGCATGGCTCATATTTTAATGGATAAATTATACCAACAGTCTCTATATTTTGACATTTGTATTACTTTGGTACTTGTAGTTTCAATTAACTCAATTTTGATTTTGAATTTATGATTTTACCTCAATTTGATTAAATTGAATATAACTATTAACATTTTGTTATAAAAAAATACATTCATAAGCAACATGTGTGATTATTTTAAGGGTAAAATTATAAATTTGCTCAATTCATTGAGTTAATCTCAATTAACTCAGTAATTAGTTTCTATAAAAAATACTAACAACGTTATCAATTGAATTAAATTAATAAAAAAATTTAAAATTAAGAGTCAAAATTAAATCAATTGTAAATGTATGGATCAAAATGACACCAAGATAAAATGTAGGGATTCATAATTTGCCCTATTTTAATTTTGCTTATTTTTGATGTATGAGTCATTGTCTCTTTTAAATATATATTAATAATTTATAGGACTCTTAGCTTAAATATTAAAGACACATTTTAACAAGTGCCTACAAAATATTGTTTAATATTTTGATTTGTATAATAAGTAACCTGAAAACAGTAAAAGCCTTTAAAAAATAATTTAAAATTCAATAATAAATCTATATTTTGACATTTGTATTACTTTGGTACTTGTAGTTTCAATTAACTCAATTTTGATTTTGAATTTATGATTTTACCTCAATTTGATTAAATTGAATACAACTATTAACATTTTGTTATAAAAAAATACATTCATAAGCAACATGTGTGATTATTTTAAGAGTAAAATTATAAATTTGCTCAATTCATTGAGTTAATCTCAATTAACTCAGTAATTAGTTTCTATAAACAATACTAACAACGTTATCAATTGAATTAAATTAATAAAAAAATTTAAAATTAAGAGTCAAAATTAAATCAATTGAAAATGTATGGATCAAAATGACACCAAAATAAAATGTCGGGATTCATAATTTGCTCTATTTTAATTATGCTTATTTTTTATGTATGAGTTGTTATCTCTTTTAAATATATAATAATAATTTATAGGACTCTTAGCTTAAATATTAAAGACAAATTTTAACAAGTGCCTATAAAATATTGTTTAATATTTTGATTTGTATAATAAGTAACCTGAAAACAGTAAAAGCCTTTAAAAAATAATTTAAAATTCAATAATAAAAATAAAAAAAATAAAAAAAAAGTGTCAAGTAATAGAGGTTTGCATAAACGTTGAAACCGTCCTAGAGTGGTGAAAGTGTTGAAACACCGTTGGGACGGGGGAATCCACTCTAATCAGTATTGGCTTGGGAAAAGAACAAAAAGTTGTTTGCAAATGCTATTAAAATATCAAATGATCATTAAAAGTTTGAGTAATGTTAGGGATATTAAATTTTTTATCAAATAAATGATCAAATATCTCACATAAGTATAGAGTCTGCAATTTTATGGATATTTGGTCATTTATTTGGTAAAAAATTTAAAACCTATAATTTTTTTTCTAAAAGTTTATACAATTTCTTCAAGTCTCTCTCCAGGGATAATTGTTTCCATTACTTTATTTTTAGTTGGGTTTATAGTAAAAACATCAGTATAATGGTAAGTACTAAACTTAGGGTACCTCTACATACTTACATATATCACTTAAATTGTACAATAATAATAATAATACCTCTACATACTTACATATATCACATAAATTGTACAATAATAATAATAATAATAATAAAAAAATAATAATAATAAGAATCAGCTTGTGTGATTTCTAAGCTTAGGATTCACTTGTCAGAAAATTAAAAAGTGTGTTTGGTTTCAGTTTTTTAAAAATTGAGTTTTTTATTTTTCATATTTTTTTTAGTGAATATTTTTAAAATTTTAAACAATATTTTTACTTTTTTAAATGCATCTTACTTAGATGAATGTAAATAGTAAAATAATTAAAAAAATTAATAAATACACAAAAATACAAAAAATGTATTTTTTTTTTTGGTATTTAGTGAATTTTTAAAGATTTTTTTCAAAAATGTTATACTTTTTAAGTGTATTTATATTAGGTGTGTCAAAAATTTTTAAAAATTGCTTTAAATATTAAAAAAATTCATTGAAAAAAAAATCCAGAAAATAAAAAAGGAAAATTTTCTGAAAAGTCTTTTTTGAAAATCAAAACCAAACATTTGTTTTCTGTATTTTTTTTATTTTTATTATTTTTTTAAAAATATTTTAAGTAATTTTTTTAATTTTTAGATGCACCTAACATAAATACATTTAAAAAGTATAATATTTGTGAAAAAAATCTTTAAAAAATTTACTAAATACCAAAAATATATATAAAAAAATACAAAAATTCAATACATTTTTCGTATTCTTGTATATTTATTATTTTTAAAAATATTTTTTTACAAATATTTTATTTTTTAAATAGATCTAAGTAAGGTACATCTAAAAAAATACAAAAAATTTGCTTAAATTTTTTAAAATATTCACTAAAAGTCAAAAAATACAAAAAATAAAAAATTTAATTTTTAAAAAATAAAATTCAAAAAATTAAAACCCAAAATACTGAATAATAATTGTGAGGTGTCCAACCAATTAATGAGGCGCATTTAGGCTTCGTTTGGGAAGCGATCGGTTTAGTCAAAAAGTCAAAAAATTACTAAAAAAGTCAAAAAACCAACAACTTATACCAAAAAATCAAAAAATTTGTTTTCTTTCTACTTTTTGCACATCTTTTCGTAAAAAGTTAAAAAGTCATCCTAAATATATTTAATTTTTTTAATTCATATTTTAACTAAATAACCAAAAAATTATTAAATTAGCCAATTCTCAAACAATGCCTTAGAGGCACTCCTAAAGGTACATGTAGGATGGTGAGAATTGCCAAAAACAAAAAAAACTTCCAATTAAAAAGATTAACCATTTTTCACTACCGAAAAGCTAAGCACCCAGAATGAAAGTCCAAAATTTTATCCAAAACTTAGGTTTCGTTTGGTAATTACATATTTTTGTTAAAAAGTCATTATAAATTATCATATCATTTTTTTAAATTTTTTTACATATTTTTTTATAAAAATTTAAAAAATTATTAAAATAATTTATTTCCAAACGAGACCTTAATGTATGATGCATATTTTAACTCTTGAATGGCAGCACTTACATCTAAAATCAATATGAACTACACATTGAATTTTCTATACAAATTTCTAGGTTATGCTCACCTCAGGCCGCTACAACCCAACCCCTTGAATTATTATTATTATTATTTTACTAAAAATAGGATGTTGGAGGAACAATCACCCAAATAACTTCCTTCTGGAAACTTAGGTTAAGGGTTGGTTTGGAAAGTGGGTTCACTTTTTGATTTTTTGATTTTTTTTAGCTATTTTAACTTGGACTAAAAAGTTTGGTTTGTAAAGTGCTTTTTGGCTGTTTGACTTTTTTTACTTTTTTTTTTGTGAGAGAAGAGTGTAATGATTATGGGCTGGATGTGATATTTTATTTTTTTGTAGCTAAAATAGCCTATTTTGTCTTTTGTGGCTAAAATAGTCAAAAAATCCCACTTTAGCTCTTCCCAAACGGACCTTAAAAAAAAGTCAAAAAGTCACTATCCTATCACATCATTTTCTTTAACGCTATGTTTGGTAACTTAGGAGAGAAAAGAAAAGAAATGATTACTTAAGTAATAAGAGAAAAGAAAAGAAAAGAAATGATTGTAATTTCTCTCCTTTTTGTTTGGATAAGTAAGAAATAAAAGAAAAGAAATGATTGTGATTTCTCTCCTTCTTGTTTGGTTAGATTTCATTAAGAGAAAAGAAAAAAAATTATTTTATGTTATATTACCAAAATAACCTTTTTATATTTTCAATCATTTTATTTCTTTTATTTTTATAGGGGTAAAATTGGTATTATGAAAATATAAACATTTGTGGATTTCTTTTCTCTCCTCTTGAATGGTAGCACTTACATCTAAAATCAATATGAACTACACATTGAATTTTCTATACAAATTTCTAGGTTATGCTCACCTCAGGCCGCTACAACCCGAGTCCAGATCCCCTCCTTGAGGCCCCTCCTTAATTCCCTCATTGCAGGGGCCTTCGGGTCTACTTTGAGGCCCAGTTTTGATAATCCGAATCGTTCATATTTTTAGATTTATTCAGTATATTATACCTGTAAAAAATCAAGTTGATCGGATATCAGAAAGTATGCGTTCAGAAAATTGGGATTACAAACTATTTTTTAATAAACAATTTTCCGAACACATACTTTATGATATTCGATCAATTTGATTTTTTACAGGTATGATATACTGAATAAATCTAAAAATATTAACGGTTCGGATTATCAAAACTGGGCCTCAAAGTGGACCCGAAAGCCCCTGCAAGGAGGGAATTAAGGAGGGGACTCAAGGGGAGGATCCCAATTCGCTACAACCCAACCCCTTGAATTATTATTATTATTATTTTACTAAATAGGATGTTGGAGGAACAATCACCCAAATAACTTCCTTCTGGAAACTTAGGTTAAGGGTTGGTTTGGAAAGTGGGTTCACTTTTTTATTTTTTGATTTTTTTAGCTATTTTAACTTGGACTAAAAAGTTTGGTTTGTAAAGAGCTTTTTGGCTGTTTGACTTTTTTGACTTTTTTTTGTGAGAGAAGAGTGTAATGATTATGGGCTGGATGTGATATTTTGTTTTTTTGTAGCTAAAATAGCCTATTTTGTCTTTTGTGGCTAAAATAGTCAAAAAATCCCACTTTAGCTCTTCCCAAACGGACCTTAAAAAAAAGTCAAAAAGCCACTATCCTATCACATCATTTTCTTTAAATCACATCACTTCTCTATCACATCACTTCATACTCAACTTATATTTTATAAAAAATAAAAAAGTACACTTATTTAAATCATTCCAAACCACCCTACAATCACTACTCAAATTAGTTTATGAACACAGTGAATTACTGATTTTTGTGTTTGAAAATTTTTGTGTTGCATTCTGTGCACAATGAATTACTGATTTTGTTTTGCTATGTACATGAACACGAGACGCATTTAACTTTCGTTTCATCTCCAACCATATTTCAGGAAGAGGCTTGCCTTCTTCGCCGGAGCAATAAACTCTCCAGCACGTATACAGCTAGTTGAAGTTTGGAAAAATGACTCGGATATCTTCGCCCACCATGGCCGCCTCAAAACCCCCTATGCCACCGAGCTCCTTCGGAGCAAGTACTGCCTCCATGCCAAAGGCTACGAAGTCAACACTGCTCGCATTGGTGATGCTCTCTATTATGGTTGTGTCCCTGTGATCTTGGCTGACTACTATGATCTCCCATTCACAGACATACTCAATTGGAAGAGCTTCTCTGTTGTTGTTGCCACAGTAGACATTCCATTGCTCAAGAATATACTCAATGAGGTTGGTTTTGATGAGTATTTGAGGTTGCAAAAGAATGTGTTGAAGGTGAGGAGGCATTTTCAATGGCATGGTGTTTCTGCTGAGTATGATGCTATGATGCTTTTCACATGGTTTTGTATGAGTTGTGGCTCAGAAGAAGTTTTGTGAGATTTTCATAGCCTTTTTAATTCTTAAAATGACTATGTTTTGGTGGTTAATTGGTACCATCTTGAGTGGTTTGTTGCCCCCAATGACATTAGGCTTCTCTCTTCTTCTTCTTTTACAAAAGGGGAACCCAGTGCATGATTTTCCTACCATTGTACATACAGTCTTTTTCTTGTATAGTGGTTCTGTGTTGAAAACCATAATGCCCATCTCACAATTTTCTTGTTTTGGGTTGATGGGTTGTGAGGTTTAATTTTATCTGGCAGTTACGAATGTTGTTTATACGATTACTAGTTAGAATAAGTCTGGAAATACATAAATACAAAATGTATATATGTGGACAAATAGGATTTTTCATAATTGAATTTAATTATCAAATTTCTGTAAAATCTTATCAATTTATGTAATTTTTGGTTTATTTATATGTCCAATTTCAATGTTGTTAGCTGGACTGTATTAGCCACACATGTACATGGATGCCTCGCAAACAATATGCCACTATATTCTTCACAAGTCACCAAAAAAGTTGGATTTTCATATTAGCACCAAACAGGCATAATTAATGATATTAAGGTCTTGTTTGGTATATTTTATCCTCTGTAATTTATTATAAGTTAGAAATTAATTATTAAAAAGTAAAATTTAAAATAAATTTTCCTTTGATTTTTCAAAAATAAATTTTAATTTTTTTATATAATAAGTTGTAAATAAAAGTTGTACCAAATATTTTAATACAAATTACATATAATTCCAATAAAATACATCAAACTAATCCCATGAGCACTATAGAGAAGAGGTGTTATTTACATGAGCATTAGAACTTTCTAAAGACACCAATATGGTGTGGTCCAACCTATTAATTAATGGATGTGAGAAAAACTAATTAGGCTACATTACTAACTTCACATGAATGCTATTAAGCTAATGTGAGTAATACAAAAGATTAAAAAGTAGTTGAGTGATATTAGTAAATCAAACACTTGCACCTTAAAAGGATAGAGGTTGGTTTTTGTCTGTGCTTAAAGGAGTGAATATGTCAAACTATGAAGACACTTGATGAACTAGTTAAAAATTGCCAACTTGTTAAATTAATCCACATTCAAATGAAAAAATGAATCTATCAAAATAGGGTGAATTGCACTAATAGTCCCTATAGTTTGAGACTTGTGTCACTTTGGTCCCTGACTTTTCAATTGTGACACATTTGACTCTAAATTTTGAATCTTGTTCCAAATAAGGACAATTGAAGATATCATTAGATGTTTCAAGGGTAAAATCGTCAATTTGACAAAATATAAACTAATTTGACAAAAATAAATGTCAAACAAATATTTTTGAATTTTTTAAAATTATGTTTACCTACTAAAAATAAAATTATGTAAAATTAATAAATTTTTTAAACATTTATTTATTTATTTATACCAAATTAATTTTTATTATGTGTTTGGATGATGAGCATGTAAAATTAATTTTTTAAAAATAATCATGTAATTTTTATTAATTTTTATCAATTTTACATAATTTTATCATTGGTGGATCAAAAAAAATTTTAAAAATTAAAAATATTTTTTTGACATTTATTTTTGTCGAATTAGTTTATATTTTATTAAATTGACGATTTTGTCCTTGAAATTAAACAATGGTATCTTCAATTGTCCTTATTTAGAACAAGATTCAAAATTCAGGATCAAATGTGTTACAATTGAAAAGTCAAGAACCAAAGTGACACAAGTCCCAAATTATAGAGACTGCTAATGTAAATTGCCCATCAAAATATTCCATCCACCTTATGCAAATAGATCAAGAGAAACTTGAAAGAAATTTCTCCATGGACAGAAACCCAGCTATTCATTATTCAGCAATGTTTTGAAAAATTGGTAAAAAAATTAATTTTTTGACTTTTTGACAATTTTTTTATGTTTTTTTTGGAAGAATTTGATAAAAAAAACTAAAAAATTAACTTTTTACCAAGTTTCTAAATTGTTCCACAATCTAACTAAAGTTCAAACTTGTTAAGGGATCTTAATAAATACTAATCATTGATCACTTGATCTTGAATTTTGGAGTTAAGGTATTTTACGCTCGCGTCCTGTTGCTTTAATTTTTATTATTTTTAGCAAATGGAGAGATGACTATTTTTGTATTTTATAATTTTTTTGATTTGCAACAGCTATGGATGTCATGTCATCTTAATTTCGGAGTAAATCATATAAATTGTCATGTTTTGTGTGGGCTTGTTCTTTGTCGTCTTGCTCTCCTTCTTATTTGCATTTTGCGTCTCACCAATGAATGATGTTGCTATTTTATTTTTTAAAATGAAAAGACTATAATCTTTTGCATTGCTCTATATAATTTCTGTATATACCTTATTTTTGGAATTTTTTTGCTATTTTTAGCACCAAGTCTATTTAGATTTGAGTTTTCAAATAAAATTTTGATATTTTTATGTTTTTAGTAAATTTTTTAAATATTTTAATAAAAAAATTTTATTTTCAAATACACTTAACTTAAATGTACCCAAAAAATAAAATATTTATAATTTTGGAAAAATTGGTCTAGGGTCCCTCTCCCACTTTTCGTAATGGAAGAGATTCACAATATTATTTTTTGATGTCTAAGGTCCCTCCCATCTATCACAGAGAAATTCAACCCCCTTCCTTGCCTCTACTCTCACTCATCACCACGATCAAACACGCACACACAGAGTTCACAGTCCCGATCGATTTCGTCCTGTTTCAGCCTAATTCGGGGATTGTAGATCCAGTATCGAATCTTCATTATGACAACATGTTGTTTGCTCAGATCGATGCTGTGTGCTCTGCTCTGGCATCGTTAGGGTTTATGAAGGTTCCATTGCAGATCTCCAAGACAGGTTGGCCTTCTAAGGGAGACGAAGACGAAGCTGGAGCGAATATAGACAATGGAGGTCTACAGATGCTCACACACACAAGCCCACAGTTTCACTGGCTTCATATACACAAGATATTGAGATATTTTAACCTAAACAGGATGAGGATTCTGAAGAATATGGAAGCCCTGTTGTTTTGGCTTCTGCCATTGCAGATCTTATAAAGTCCCGGACTGAAGCACTTCTGAAGAAGACAAAAGCTGCAGTTTCTTCTAAACCTATTGTGATGAGAGCTGACAGATCTCCAAGACAGGTTGGCCTTCTAAGGGAGACGAAGACGAAGCTGGAGCGAATCAAGACAATGGAGGTCTACAGATGCTCACACACACACGCCCACAGTTTCACTGGCTTCATATATACAAGATATTGAGATATTTTAACCTAAACAGGATGAGGATTCTGAAGAATATGGAAGCCCTGTTGTTTTGGCTTCTGCCATTGCAGATCTTATAAAGTCCCGGACTGAAGCACTTCTGAAGAAGACAAAAGCTGCAGTTTCTTTTAAGCCTATTGTGATGAGAGCTGAGTATGCTCACTGTCCAGCGGGAATTTTTGATATAAAATGGAGCCCGGTTGGAGCCATTGTTGGTTCGTTGCTTGCTCAAGCTGATGCAGATGGTTACTTGAGGCTTCATCACCTAGAATGCTGTTCGGATGGATCAGCAGCTGGAGGTAATAGAGTATATAAGTGACAACAGTAGCAACAATGGTGGAGGATCAAACCCACGGCAGAGAAATTTCCATGAAAGGCTAAGGAAATTTCTCTGGCAGTGTCCATGAAAGGCTAAGGAGGCCAGAGAAATTCAAAATTTCTCTGAACTAATTTTTTCTGACTTGAATTTTCTCTGGACTAATATTCTCTGGACCAATTTTCTCTGAATTGATGTTGAGGGATCTTAAACATCATGAAAATATTTGATGTCCTTTATACTATAAAATCATAATATCAGGGACCTTAAAAAAAATGCCCCTATAATTTTTTATATAAAAAATACAAAATTTCACTACATTTTTATATTTTTAATTTATTAATTTTTTGTTTATAAAATTTCTCCACATCAGTTATATCTAAAAAATAAAGAAAAAATTGACTAACATATGACAAAAATTTTTTTATTCAAGATAACAAAACACAAAAAATAAAAGTTTAAATCAAAATTATTTTTCTTTTTCAGTTATATATTTTTTTTAATACTTTCAGCAACTCAACCATCATCAATTTGAAGGACTAGTCTTCTTCAATTCTTCAACTGTCCAACTATGGATTGAATGAATGAATGTAGCTTCGCTCAGAGTTTGACAGTGTACTCTCTAATGGCTCGTTCACTGCTCATTCTCTACTCTCTCTCTCGTCGCCGTCTCTCTGATTCTTTCAGAGGCTTATTCTTCATTCCCACTACCTTAGCTCTCTTCACTTCTCTGTCTATCCTCTTCTACATCTCTTCTACCTCCAATCTCTTCCTTCACACCCACCAGTCCCGTTTCCATTTCAAACATTCAATCGATTCTTCCACTTCATTCTCTCGACCCACCATCTCAATTATCCAAGATTCGCTTCCCAAACCCTCAAAAACTCCATTTCTTGGGTCGCGAAAACAGGGCATAATCGATGTTCGTGGTGGATCTGAGAGTCAATTGCCAGTGAAGATCAAAATTGGGTCAAAGGGTATGATTTTCTTGACTTTTTGGCTTATGGGTCTTGCTTGATTCTTGAATTATTTGTTTTTTTTTTAATTTTTGGGGTGGGCTTAGGGTTGGGGTTTATTGTAATGAATTAACTGATAGAAACTGTATATTTCTTGGGTTCTAAAATTGGAATTCTTTATCAATTGAAAGCTTTTGTTTGTTGATTTATAAAAAAAAAAAAAAGTGATCTTAATTGGATCTAACACACATTTCTGAGCAAAAAACCTCATTTGTTACTGTAATTCATTAATGTGTAGTGAATGTGTTTAACTTAACATATCTTGAAACCACATTGTTGGAATGTAAAACCTCTTGCTTTTGAACTATTCTGTCCGTCTTCTTTCAAGAACATCACAGAAACCATCTGTAGCTTATGTCTTCTGATGATTACTACCATAAATTGCTTGAGCATGCGGTCATTGCAAGGACTGATGTTTATGAAGTCATTAAGAGTTTTAATTCTTAATTTCAATATCTGGAAATCATTTATGTTCATGATTCAGGAAACTATGTGAATAACAAAGGGGTGTTCCATGACAGAGATATTTTTCTGGAAAACTATAAGGAGATGAATAAAAGTTTCAAGATATATGTTTATCCTCATAAGAAAAGCGATCCCTTTGCACATGTATTCTTGCCAGTGGATTTTGAACCTAGGGGTAACTATGCCAGTGAAAGTTACTTTAGAAAGGTTCTCATGAAAAGCCATTTCATTACTATGGATCCTTCCGAAGCAGATCTCTTCTTCCTGCCATTTTCAATTGCAAGATTGCGACATGACCCAAGGGTAGGAGTTGAAGGTATCCAGGATTTTATAAGAGATTATATCTTCAACATTAGTCAGAGGTACCCTTACTGGAACCGGACAGGTGGTGCTGACCATTTTTATGTTGCTTGTCATTCCATTGGACGATCGGCAATGGGGAAAGCAGATGAAGTAAAATTGAATGCTATTCAAGTTGTATGCTCTTCAAGCTATTTCCTATATGGGTATGTTGCTCACAAGGATGCATCCTTACCACAAATATGGCCAAGACAAGGAGAACCTCCAGATCTTGCTTCGTCAGTAAGGTAATGTTGTGTCTTCCATCTGCCACTTCTTATCCCTAATGAAGCCTTTGTCCATAAAATGTAAAACCCTTTAGTCAACTACTGTGCCGTCTACCTTAAACTATGAGGTGCCTTTGCTACATGCCCTTTAGGGTTTGATACTAATAAGTACTTCCTGATTAGAGGCAAATGCTGCTTATTCATAACCCTTCCCAATGGTTCAAAGTGTAATAATGGTTTGACTCAGATGCTAGCTTAGTAGAAAGCTCCAAGCCTCCAACTGCTTCCCCAGTTCAAGTAACGCTGAGCCTTTTCCATTTGTTAATACTTAATATTGGAATTTATCTACTGCTTCATAATGCTCAATGATTACTATGTTTTATTAGGGATATGCCCAAATGTTTAACCCACCTGACAATTGGTTTGTGGTCGAGTATATTAAACTGTAAGAGTGTGAATCTCTATATATGCATATGTATGTGCCTTCGGATGGACAAAGTTGAGATATGTAATTGTCCAATGGGGGTTGTGACCTTGGTTTTCCACTATGTCTAGCAAATTGACGCAAGATCTGTTTAGAGAATAACATTTTTGTCCTTCAACTCAGATCTATACTTGCTTATAAGATCCGTTTTGAGAATAACATCTTTGTTTTTCAATTAAATTCTGTACTAGATTAAATGGGGTTGTGACCTTGGGTTTCCCGCTATATCTAGCAAACTGCTACAAGATCTGTTTAGAGAATAACATCTTTGTTCTTCAATTAAACTATTCCTCTGTACTTCATTTAGCCTACATTGTTGTGTTAATTTCGTATGTTTCTTTCTTCCTTCTCTATTTCCTTTTTTAGTCATATTGGAGTAATTGTAGTAGGTGGAGGTGTTCTTTTTTCTTTATTGGTTTCCCTAGCTTACTTTCTAGGTTACGAGATATAGCCTCTTTAGTGTAATCTTTCAGTGTTGGTGTGTGCTTGAAAAGGGAGGAAAGGCCTGCAGTTTGTGGTTCTTGGTGTCAGCAAATTGAATTGGAACTTGGTTATTGAAACTGGATATATTTTTAAGTTAGGACCTCCAGCTCTTCAAAATAGTATTTAAGACATAATGCATAGGCTTTTGAGTTTATTGAACAGCTGAACCCATTCAAACTTTTTATTTACTTGTCGGTGTTGCAAGTAAAGTGGATGTGTAGAATCTGGAGATACGACTTCGAGAGGGTGCAACTTTAGGCGTAGGGTGATGGATTACATATGCAGTTAGTTTCTGAAAGGGTATTTAAAGGCGGCTCAGAGTTCTCAAATGTGTTCATTTTTCAGTGAATCGGTTGGGAATATTTGGATATCAGAGAGGAGGTAAAATACATATAGCATAGATAATTGAAGCTGTAATGCACTGCCTACTATGCCTCATGTGGTGTGTTTGGATAGGAATGGATGTACTTTCAAGCACATGCCATTTTTGCGACTTTGAATAGAATTTGGAATATGCTGTTTACTTGTATAGACGCAACCCACATTTTTGGCATCCTGGTGGATTTTTTCTTACTTAAAAAGCACTGATTTTGCTGAAAATATGTCTACTCCAAAAGTCCATAAGAGTAGTTTTCATGTGAACTTTATTTAAATATTTTCTTATTTTTTTCTTTTGTCCTAATATCAAGAACTGAACCTAACACACTTCACAACATCCTACTATCGCCTTTTCTACCATACTACATTTACAATGTATGCTTGCATCTATGTCTTAGATGGTTACCAAATTCTGTAAATTACATTTTGCTTCCATATTTACTAGTTGAAACAAATGTTTTGGTTTAGTCTTATTTTTATGCCTTGACAAACTCTAACTCATCTGGAGTTCAAATCTCAGGGAAAAGCTAGCCTTTTTTGCTGGGTCAATCAACTCCCCTGTCCGTGAGAATCTTCTTGAAACATGGAAGAACGACTCTGAGATCTTTGTCCACTTTGGTCGGCTCACAACGCCATACGATAAAGAGCTTCTTGGCAGCAAGTACTGCCTCCACGTCAAAGGGTTCGAGGTTAACACAGCTCGTATTGGCGATGCACTGTACTATGGTTGTGTCCCCGTCATCATTGCCAACCACTACGATCTCCCATTTTCGGACATATTGAATTGGGAAAGGTTCTCAATCATCGTTGCCACGTTGGACATCCCGCTGCTGAAGGAAATCCTCAAAGGGATAAGCTTCGATGAATATCTGAAGCTTCAGAGGAACGTGTTGGAGGTGCGAAATCATTTCCAATGGCATGTTTCCCCGGTTGACTACGATGCTTTTTACATGGTTATGTATGAGTTATGGCTCCGGCGAAGTTTAATTAGGGTTCCATTTAGTGGTTTGCAGTTGCTAGGAAAAGAAAAAGGGTAAGTACATACAAATAGAGATTTTATTAGCATGTTGGCTTAGCATAACACCATGCGCATTGGCATAGGTATAATGATTCTTGAAGAAGCATATAAATTTTTTTTCTTTGTATTTGACCATATAAAGTTTCATTTTTTGGGAACATTTTGATGTCCATTTTTTAGGTAGTGTTTGGTAACATTTATATTTTTGATTTATGTTTACCAAAATTTTAAAAATTGGTTTTTATTTATTTTTGGAAAAACATAAACTACAAACGCGATTGGTTTGAACAAAATATTTGAAAATTTTTAAAAACATAAATTAATAAATATGTATGTTCAGACTTAAAATATTTATATTTATTTTTTATAATTTATGATAATGGGATCATGCACATTATAATTGGAAAAAAAAAATATTAATTGAAGAAAAAAATTAATTAAAAAAAAAATTTGACAATCAAATTTTTAAATTTCTATTTAAAAACTTACGTAGACTCATTTTTTGAGTTTACGTTTTTTTTTTAAAATTTACAAACTGAGACAATCATTTATAAATCAAAAATTTTATCAAACAAAGTTTTATGACAATTTTTAATTTTTTTGTAAATATAAACCTTAATTGAAAACAAAATAGTTACCAAACATTGAATTGATGAGATTGGAAGGGCATTATTTGTGGCCAAATGCTAACACTTATAAATAATAAATAAAAAGTGAAAAGAAGATTTTAGAAGAAGGCATCTCAATATCCATTTGAAAATAAAAATAAAAATTAGCACTATTTAAGATGGAAAAACAAATAAAAAAAAACAAAAAGTGCAGTACAAATAATTTTATTTCCTTTTCCTTTCCCTAGCCAAAGTCTATATCCAAACATAGAGCACCTTAATAATGAAGTACATGCAATATATATATATAGAAAATGAGTGGGAGCTTTAATTAGAGCTACCACTAGTGATGTAGCAATGGATCCCACTCACTGCCACAGTTTGCATTGTGTCTTTTTTTTTTGCTTCGTCACCTCATTAGTAGTGGATTTAGAGCCACTAAATTAGTGGTCTCTAACAACACCGATATATATATATATATATATTGAAATAGTCCCTAAGAACTTTTCAAATCTACTGTGTTTTGATTTTTTTTTTTTTTTTTTTTTTTTGGGGGGGGGGGGGGGGGGGGGGTGTTTGTGTTTTACATTCTAAAGTTTATACAGAGACGGAAACAAATACAAGATTCATAAAACAAAGACAGACCAACAATATATAATTGAAACAGCATTGTGTTCTCTTTTATACTTGTAGATTCGTCAGGTATCGAAATGCGTTTATGCCCCCTTGTTGGTACTCCATGGCTTGAGCACGCCCACAACAACGACTACAACAATAATAAGAAGGATCATAATAGCGATGCACATCCATTTTCTAGAGTTCCTTTGTAATTTCTTTGCCTTTTGGAGAGCAGTATTCCCAGATTGAACATGATCAACTGCACTTGAAACCTTTAAAAAACAAAAAAAAAATGAGGTAGAGATGAGTACATTACCGGTTTAAATATACAAATCTCACAAACTAATGATGTGTATGAAACTTCCATCAAATTGTTGCCATTACATGTGATTCTATGTTGTCGAGCATGTCCCCTTGTGCATCCACTAAAACTGCCATATCCAAAAATATCTGCATAAAAAAAAAACAGGTCGGTCAAATGTCAAATATTTTTGGACCTTACATAAAGTAGATCCATTGGAATCGAATGAAACCTACTGTCCAAAAGGAACCGTTCCAGTTCCTCAAACACAATAAACACCTAGGGTTCAAGATACCCATTTGAAGGCTATGTTTCGATAGATAAAAGCCTCTAAAAGTTTTACAATGTATGCTAACCAAGTTATTTTCATAACCATTACCCATCAACACAGATAAAATATTATATAATAATTTGAATAAAGAAATAAATCATCTATCTCTAAAATTTTAAAATGTTCAGACTATTTCGTTAATGTGCATTAGCATAAATTTCCGACACCAGCAACTTAATTGAAGCCCAAAAGGAACCTGCACCAGGTTCGTGTTCTCTTTCACTTCCACAGAAATTCAAACATGCACTTGACTTTTTTTTCCTTCAGAAATGATCAATATCTCGATCCTCAAATATCTCCATTTTAAACAAGGGTGAAGACATTTCTAGTATGCTTCTTCAAACCAGATGACGGAGAATAGTTAAATGTACATCTGTTACTGTATAGGAAAATCTGTAAGCAGAAAAATAAAAATAAAAAATAGAAAAGCATATAACAATTTCGTGATCAAGCCCATTTGGATTTATTTTGTCCTTTCTAGACCTTTTTTTTAAAAAAAAATTATTTTTCCGGTTTGTCTAGTCAAGTAGAACCCAAAAGCCTAATGCTTTTTAAAAATTAAAAAAAATGGTTCACTAAAGACGCAAAAAAGCCACCAAAACAGCTAACCCCAAACACATAAAGCATTCAGTACATCAACAACGGTAAAGCTACTAATATCCCATTTTTGCTCTGCCTAGAATCAGCAAACATAACATGGACTTTTAAATCTCTTCAACAAGGACTCACTTTTAAATTTGCAGAAGAAATTTCCTCCTTCCAGTTGGATCTTTTTCAACTACTCTCAAGAATGCATATTTTAGCAAAATCGAACTTTTTAAAGGTGAATAATTGATGAATAAATTAAAAAACAAAAAAACCAAAGAAATGAGAGGAAAAAATATAGGAAAGATAGAAAGCTATTTCCACTTCAACGACTTCCAACCCCATCTTGAGTGCAAAGATGAGTCTAATGGGCAGCCCTTAACTTAGATTCCCAACTAATCATTGCAGAAATCAGTTAAGAAACTGACAGTAAGCCTAAATTTAAAATGCATTGGAAATGTGAAGTTGGATTTGGGATCCAGGTTTCAAATCTAAGGTTTTAAAATATAAATGTTTGAAATCATAGGATTTTGAATCAATTGTTTGGATATCAAAATTAGTTAAGCTATTTGGTTACAGATTTGGGTAAAATATAAATCAATTGAAAATGATTGCTGGTACCTGTTGCAACTCAAGAAGCTTCCTCTCTACATCTCTAACCGCATCGTGGCGTTCTTGAATTTCTGCTAGAGTGTCCATTATCTGCAAACATAAGAAAATAACAAAAATAAGGCTCGACCAACTTTAGTTACTCTCTTTAGTTGTCAAATTGCCATCACAACCCAGTGGTATTGAGTTGCTTTTTATCAGAGCCAGGATTGGAGGCAGTTAAAAAAAAAAAAATAATAATCTAAAAAGCGAAAAGAGGCAAGATTGCTCCACTGAATCCTAGAGATTTTTCTTCTGTTAGACAAACATCAAATTTACCACGGTTGTGTCCCAACCGAGAGTTGAGAAAAAGACCAACTAAATGAGAAGGAAGAAAGGTAATAAAAGGTAAAACCTGGCCTCGCCCTTGTTCCCTAATTGCTTTCTGGAAAATCTGTTCACTATCCCCGGTCTCTATCAGTTGATCAATTGTCTGAAAAGTTCCAAAATAACTATTAGATAAGCACTTACGAAGATACAATTTCACTGGGAAATATGACACAGCAAAAAACTTCACCTCTTCATCGGCTCTGGTGCCCGTTACTGACAATCATGACAACAAGAAAACTTAAATGATTAGCAAGACATCATGGGAAATCCAGTGCATCAAGTTGCGAAAACTATAGAAATATGCCTTATAAGTAAGGTTTTTAAACCTGTAAAAACTCGCCTCTCAACAACATCTCGGTACTCTTGATGGATGTTTTGCCTTAAAGTCTGCAGACATTGTTAAGAACTGAAAGTTAGCATAACCAAAAGAAAAGAATAAAAGTAAATGGTGTGTATAATTACATGACTAGTTTACCTGAAATTCAGACATTTTGTCTTTAAATTTCTTTTTCAAGGCACTGCAATCAACCAAAACCATATATGAAGTGAGATTAGGTCGACTTAATGAATACATTTATATTGAACTATGCAGCTTGACAAAGGATTGGAAAATGATGAACTTAAATGAGTCCAACTATGTCAAAAATGTTACTTTAAACTTCATGATCTTTAGAGACCTGTACAATTAATTCTTTTCTAATATTAAAATCTGTCCATTTAACCCTCGATTTCTCTTGCCATCGACATATATGTCAAGTTTCACTTTTTAAAAAAGAAAACCAAAAATTGACACTATGGGTGTGTTATCTTATTTCTGAGAATGTCAGTCATGGCCCTTACTAAAAAGAAGGTTTGTGGTATACAGGTCATTTGTTGGGGAGTGTCCAAGAGGTGTCACCCAACTACTTGGAAATACAAAATTTACTATATGTCATGGGCATATCTGAGATGCATTGGACTTGTTTAAAATAAGTAAAAAATACAAAAATAAAAATCAACAAGTGTTGGTATCAGACACGTGTTGAACACAAACATAGCAACTCTAGAAAATAGTTATATTGCTACTTACCGAGCAGCTTGAACTATATGCTTAAAATGGGCAAGTTCCTGTTTTTTTCACCCCACCATCTCAACTAGTCAGCCAAGATATATTGCTTACAGTTTAAATTGAAGAGATTTTAATCAGTGATCTACATCATCAGGGATATTCTGGGTCTTCTCATGATCCTTCGCTTCCAGAATTCATGAACCAAAGGAATGTGGCATCAAAGATTCAAAGAAGTTCATTATGCTTCACATTGTTGTTGGTCAATCTTAGCACTTATTTCTGGACTGCCTTATAGTTGCTTTGTTCAAAAGGTTTATAATTTCAAGAGCTTCATTTATATCATCACTAGTCAATGAGCTTTGCACTTACCCCACCACTTAAAGTTGCTCTGTAATTTTCATTAATTTCTTCAACATGATCTCAATAATTGGCTTTCATGCAAACAATTTCACAGATAGAAGAATAATTTTTCCGTAATTGAAAACCATTCCTTCAGCTTGTTACAAAGTTTTATAGTTTGCAACAATGAAACTAATGTATCAAATTATTCAAGTGATTGATTTATCGATAAAGTAGACATTGATGTATTGTCAATTAGTCATGTCCTTTCTATGTCCGTGTCCTTTTTTTTAGAATTTACCACGTCAATATATCCATGTTATATCATGTTTGTGTCTCATTTCTGTGTTTATGCTACTTAGATTTGGACAATATCGACTCATCAAAATTACATACCTATATAAATATACATATATGTGGGACATCTACACAACATTTTTTAAGTGATTGACATTTTAATATTTCAGTTCTTAATTTTTAATAATTTAAAGTATATCATAACTTTGTTACTCAATCATCCTTGCACTATTTCTTGTAGACTTTCAATTTCCAGCCCAACTAGAGGAAGAAATAATCAATTCCTAATCATGTATAGAATTTCCAGCATGTGATATGTGTGTCGAAGAAACTCAAGATGATACTAGGACAATGGCAAGAATACCATTTAAATGTTATCAATGTCTCCCTACCAATCAACTTTACAGTGCAAATTTTTGGTAGTCATGTGTGGGAAAATAAGATGCAAGCAAAAATGAAGTTACACTGTTGTGGCTGTTCTTGATCGGTCTACACCTGTTCCTTTTCCACATCCAGGCTTCTGCCGGTTGGTTAAATTCTGGACCAACAATTTAGGAAGAAAACAGTCAGTCATCAGATAAATATTGCAAAGGACCAGAATAACCAGGAGCAAGTATGCTCTTACATCTCTGTCAAGCTCCTCAATCTTTGATTTAATGAAACGGGCAACTTTTCCAACTTCATCAACATCTTTCTCCATTCTCTGCTTGATTGCTGTAGATAATGATGTGATCAATCATCATTACTAAGTTCCAGACAATTGAAAATATATTTTGAAGTTCAGTACGTTGACTACAAAGAGAAAAAGGTTAAAGGATTCTCACCCAAATTGGAAACTTTAGAGGGAAGTGCACAGTAATCCATGTCATTCAAAAGGTGAATCTTAGTTCAAATGCATGACTAAATCACTAAGTTATTTGGTGACCATATGCTTATCAATTTCACATATCCAAAGCAGCAACTATCTTCCATCACAAATAAAATACTTAAATGATTTATATAACCTGGTTATTGGCTTGATAAAGGAGAAAAAATAAGATAGGGACCAGCATGGCCCCCATGTCAACCAAGCTGGCAGTGCCTGATTGGTATGGCCAACCAACACCACGTGGCATGGTATGAGAAGCCATCACCTCTGACGGTGTCACAACCCAAATCCCACCTTAGATGGATTAAGGCATGACTAGCTGATAGCTGAGACTAACTGTGGATGGCATCTATATACATTAAAACTTATAGTTGAATACATAATTAAGCCCCCAAAATTCAACACTTGCTCTATGTAATACCAACCTCCTATTTCTATTTTTAAGGCCCATATACACAAAATACATGGCTTAGAAGCATTTGTTCTCTCCTAAGAAGCATGGACATGAATGCGGACACAAGTATGGACACGAGACGGCCATTTTTTAAAAATAGGATACGAATCGGTCTGGGATATGACAAAAAAAATGTTTCTTATATATTTTTATTTGCTATGTATATGACTTTAGGACACAGAGACATAAGAGTATATGTAAGTGTATTTTATTTTTTTCTACTTTCTCCCCTCTTTGTTTCCATATATTTTATTTTGACCCCATATCAGTTTTCGGAAAGAAAAAAAAAGACCAAAAAAACCCACAAAGGTGTACTGAGGCGTGGCCAAACATAGGACATACGTGTCCATGAAGTGTCCCCAACATGTCCTGCAAAAAATAATAATTAAAATGGCATGTCTAAAACGTGGACACGAAGGTCCCCAGTGTGTCAATGTCTGATATGTGTTGAACATGGACATGACACCAATTTTGAAGTGTCCATGCTTCCTAGGTTCTCTCCAATCTTCCAAAAATTGGGATTCCTTCCAACTGAACAAGATTAATTCAACTCAAATTAAACTTTCAACCTAAATTCTAGAAAATAACAACTTTAACTTCATTTTAATTAAGTTATTTAAGAATTATAGAGGCAGAAATAGGGATAGAGTTAGGAATTTTACCATAAATATGGACTTAGATCTTTTAGCCTTTGCAGAAATAGGGATAGAGTTAGGAATTTTACCATAAATATGGACTTAGATCTTTTAGCCTTTCTCCCATTCCCCCCCTTTTCTCCCATTTTCTCTCTAGCCAAGCAAAAATTTTGATTTAATTATTTGTTCTCCCTCTTGTATACTCTCCCACTAATTAATCTTGACTAGCTAATTAAGAGAGACACATGTCTCTCTTTCTCCCTAATCCCAATTAACTTTTTACATAATCTCTAGAAATGAAACTGACATTAGTTTAGGATCTCGAGCACCTTGATTAGGCCATTGGAAATGTATATATACAAGTTACACTCAATAATGTTCTCCTACAATTTATTCCTCTACATTATGATTTAATGCACCAAAGAGGCATATATTGTTTTCATGTTAACAAGTATTACATAGAAAGTAATGTTTCACAAGATGATGGTGTGTTATAATCAAGGTTTCAAAAAGCGATTACGGTCGCCATAATGGTTGCGGTTGCGGGGTGTAAAGGTTGTAGCGTAACGGTTACGGTAATCAGAATCGTGAATTTTTTTATTTTTCACACAACTTGAAAAAAACTTACAGGTATGCATATTTTTTTTTTCTTTCTTCAGAATAATATTTATTGGGGTTTAAAATAGATTTTGATCAACTTTTGTTAGTTTTTAAATATGATCCAATATATTTTATATTTTTAAATCACTATAAAATGAGCTTTTTACATTTTATTTCAATAGTTAATGATTTTATATGTCATAAATCCATATTGTACCTTTTATATATTTTTTTAAAAATAATTGATTTTAAATGTCTACAAAATTATTTTTCACCAATACCTGCACTAACTAAATAAAAAATATTTACAATTATTAAATGCAATAATTATAAGAATAAAAATTGAGACATAAACAAAAATTATTTTTGAGCTATAAAATATTGCAGAATGTGTATATTGTATATTTTGTAAGTTTTTTTTTTTTTTTTTAAAATGAAGTTCAGAATATCGTAAATGTGTGTAATGGGCCATTACGGTACCACTACGGCCGTTATGCAACACCAAAACAACTATTACACGTGTGAATTTCCGTCATACCGCAAAAGTGCGTGTAACGGGTAGTGCCTACCGCCGCAACCGTTACATAACACTGCTTTTTGAAACCTTGGTTATAACTCTAGAATAGAAAAGAAGACATAAACTCTAGTTAAATATTGTAGAAGCTTATCAAGATAAATGAATTATTAAACATGTACTTGAGTTAATTGGTAACGCATCCCTCAAGATACCCATCTCCAAGGAATTTGTTGAGTCCAACAGGATTGGCATTTAAAACCTGAATTAAAACAAAAGGCACTTTCATTGAAGAAAGATGCCTTTCGAAAGTTTGACATGTGACCTTTCTTTGAAAGTCTATCACATGTAGATCCTATTTCTTTCTCATAAAGCACAATCAAAGATCTATCAAACAAAGAAGAATAAAAAAGGCAAAGGAAAAAAAAGGTAATGTAAACAAAAATGCAACAGGGAGCATTACATTTCATGGCAGCAGCCTTTGTTACAGCCTTCGACTCCACATGAGCATCCTGCATAAATGATTCACATAAAATTATATAATGAATTACGAATCATATTTTATCCAATATTTCATGTTATAGAGGTATCAATTCCAAAATGCAGCACTTTCTGATCCTAGATGCCACTAATATTAGGTATGCCACGTTCGGTACTGTAATCTATCACGGGCCGAACCTGTGTAATATGAGGTAAGTATAAGAAAGGACCTCATATTTATGCAAAGCAGGTTATGTATATTCTAAAATATAATTTGGACATCATATCTTCCTAGAACTTCATTCTTACATAAATGAAAAGGAAAGATGTATTTGCATTCTCCTTCATGTGCTTCAAAAGATCAATTCATGCATGCAGTTGGAGTAAATGTAAATATTAAAGGCAGACAGCAGTCTAATGTTGATTTTTGATATTTCCAGTTGACCTAAACCTAATGAACAGGTTAAGCCCACAGAATTTAAGGTCAAATAAGGCAAAAGAACCGGTTAAGCCCTCAACCTACACCAACAGTTTCCTAAATGGGTAATATTTAACAAAAATGGCTCATAGAGTATTTTGTTCTAAACTATAAACAAGAAACAAAACCACTACTAAAAATAGTTCCACACAAGCAGAAGTTGAGCAACCACAGGTCCACGTAGCACTATCATAACCAACGTTTCAAAAAGTGGTGCGGAGGTGAGGTTGAGGTTGCGGAGTGTAAAGGCTGTAGCGTAATGGTTGCAATAACTGGAATGGTGAATTTTTTTATTTTTCACACAATTTCAAAAAAAACTTACCCGATACACATTTTTTTTGGGGGGCTTTAAAATAAATTTTGATCAATTTTTGTTAGTTTTTAAATATAATCCAATATTTGATCAATTTTTGTCAGTTTTTAAATATAATCCAATATATTTTATATTTTCAAATCACTATAAAAGCAGTTTTTTACATTTTATTTCAATAGTTAATGATTTTATATGTCATAAATTCATATTGTAATTTTTATTTATTTATTTAAGAATAATTGATTTTAAATGTCTACAAAATTATTTTTGACCAAGACCTGAACTAACTAAATAAAAAATATTTAAAATTATTAAATGAAATGATTATAAGAATAAAATTTGAGGCAAACAAAAATTATTTTTGAGCCACTGAATTTTACAGAATGTGTATGTTGTATATTTTGAAAGCTTTTTTTTTTTTTTGAAATGAAGTTGTTCAGAATATTGTAAATGTGTTTAATGGCCGTTATGGTACCGTTACAGCTGTTACGTAACACTGAAATAGCCGTTACACATGTGAATTTCCGTTGCACCGAAAAAGCAAATGTAACGGGTAGTGCCTACCGCCGCAACCATTACGTAACACCGTTTTTTGAAACCTTGATCATAACTATTTATTTCCACAGTTCTTCAAGGTAAGATTAAGAAACTTCCCCAAATACAGGTCAACCAAGCACTTGTCTTCCATGGGGCACCCAGCTAACCAATAGTCATACAAAGTTATTTGGAAATAACTTTAGTCAATACTTTGTTCTTTCCGTCCCATTTTTTAAAAAAATAAAAAAAATAAAAAATAAAAATAAAGAACACCACCAATTACTAAAAGAGAAGATTAGGGGAAACAACAAAAGGACACAACAAAAGAACAAGGCATCATTCAAAAGAAGCTGGTGGTGAGAAAACGAAAGGATGATGCATCCTTCAAAGGAAAATGACAAAACAAATACTTTAGGGCCAAAAAAAAAAAAGGCAGTACAAATTCCAGTAAGCAATGGAAGCTCAAGACCTTCAATAGAGCATATCAAACAGCTCATTGAAGATACTGTGATGCCTGTTTATCAACACAAGGTCCGTCTTATCACTAGTTGAAGTCAAAATACAAAATAGCATCACCTCCAAGGCATTGGACATGTCCTGAAAGTTATTGAGGGGCCTACTTGAAATAACTTAAAACAGCAAGTGCAATTTGATGTTGGTACCTTACAGCATACTTTTGAAACACACAAAATTTGTTCGTGTAACAAATAAATGAACATCACAACACAGGCAAGGGAAACTTGGGAAAAGAAAAAAATGTGCAACCCACGTACCTGGAGCTTTTTGAGTAGCTTATTCAGAGCCTCATATTGTTTCTCAATATCTTGAACCTAACAAAGAACAAAACAGGCAAGCTTGATGACATTGGATGAAAGATGGTTTAAACATGTTCTTTTATTCCAGATGCAGAGAAAACTTAAGGAAATAATAAAAGGGAGGAAACAGGAAGCGGAAGAAGAAATGCCATCATCTTCTAGATTGGGCAACAAAGGAACGACAACAATTTATAGTCACCTGCTTAAAAAAGTTATCCAGGCCCAATTCTCCTGAATTCATTGGACGATGTCTTCCCATTTCAATATCTCCACCTGTACCTTGGCCACGAGGGATCTCAAACGAACTCTGCAAAAGTGTCATCCAGTGAATATGTATAAACAAATATAAAGAAGAAAAAGAACATAGGTAATCTCATTCACACTAAAATTCATACTAATATACTAAGAAGGAAAAACTGCTGCAGTTCTACCTCCTTCACCTCAAATATTTATCAACATCAAAAAATCATGTCAAAACAACACAAAATCTCAGATAAATTAAAGTCACAAGCAACAAAAACAAATTGCATTATAAAGGAAAGAAAATTACCTACAAAATATCCAGCTTTGAGGCCAAACTAAACCAAACCTTTGTAGCCACCACCATAAAAAAAAATTACAAGCCGCATAACTAGCAATTCATTAGTTAGTTTCTCAATCTCATGTGTTCTATATTCCCAATCATTTCAAAGCCTAGACACCAAAAGCCTTCTGGACTCAATGAGGCCACAAATAATCTTTCTAGACAACGTAAGAGCCATTCTTCCAAACACCACAGACTGTAGAAGGTTAATTTAAATACTGGAAATCTGATGTTTAGTACATCAGCCACAATATTACAAAGAATAATTGTTTGTTTAAGGAGAAAATCATGCAATTATATATCTATCATAACACAATGAACAGATTTTTATATATAAACCAAGCAGCTCAAGTAAGCATCAAAAGATATTGCAGTTTCCCTCACAAGGGCATCATCAACTTTTAAGCAAAAGATCAGTAAAGAGATTTTTAAGGTCATAGAATCTGTTAAAGGTGGATTAATCTTTTAATGGAAGGAAAGCAGGGGATAGCACAGCATTGAGAAGACCTCTAGACAGACAACAATTTCAAGTCACAGTAAGCCTCATCCCCTTCATCATTGAGCGAAGGACCTACAATGAGTAGTGCTAACAAACAAACTTTTCATATAGATTGATGCAGCAGTTGAGTTGAGGGAGCTTCTATTTCCACACACCACATTATCTCAGTTCACACACTTAATTTCCGAATTTTTGGTTTGGAAGATGATTTCCGAATCTTCCAAACCAATGAGGTTCATTTGGAAATCAATTTCCGAATAAAAGATACAACTGAACCAAATAGTTTTGTTCAGAAGTTAATTTATGAACCAAATAGATTTATTTGGAAGTTGACTTCTGAACTAAAAAGATGTGTGCACTAAGAGAAAATCATGTGTGGCAGTCGAGTTGTTCCAATAATTTGATTTCAGTGGGTCCATTTCAAATTTTAATGCTTTATTATTGCACACCACATCAGTTTGTGAAAAAAATTGTTTGTATAGCATTTTCCAGTCTACAATTAACAAGTCTTGGTCTACATTCTTCCATAATTTTGACTAGTCTTTTTGGGAAGTATTTAGCATTTAATACGAAGTTTGGATATTCCAATAACTTTCAGACTGTGTTCTTATACAAACTTGATGTATCATGTATCTAATCAAGAGGGCAGGTTGAAGTAATCAAATATTTAGTAATATCAGAAGCTATATTCAGCTGTATCTTGGGTTGCTTGAGTATTTATACTACAGCTAATTTCTCCTTCAACTCCCTAATTGATCTTCTAATCTTCTGTTCATTAAATTGACATGGACATCGTGTGACTTTTAGTAAAGTTTTAGGCCTCGTTTGGGAACAGGCTACTTTAGTAACTTTTTGGCTTTTTGGCTAAAATATGAGGTAAAAAAAAACTTGTATGTTTGGAATGACTTTTTTGTTTTTTACAAAAATATATGCAAAAAAGTAAAAAGAAAAGAGAATCGTTGACTTTTCGGTATAGTTTATTGATTTTTTTGATTTTTTTAGTAACTTTTTGACTTTTAAGCTAAAACTATTATTTTCCAAACGAGGCTTAGTAATGTGCAACACTTGGATCAAATGGTTCTTTAAGAAACCACTCAGGCAACAAACTTGAACCTTTCTACTGAATCAATTGGATAAATATCATTCTCTTGTAGGAAGGGTATGGGTTTGGACTTTGGATAGTGTGATTTATAGTTTTATCTATGTACTTTTCAATAATACTACATCAAAAAACCATTGCCAGACCATCTATAGTGTAGAAAGATGCTGCAAAAATATCCTATTGAAGAAAATAAAATCCTTAAAATGATAGAGTCCTACATTATGACCAAAACTAGGTTAGCTGTAGCTAAGAAACATTGTTCTTCACAACATATTCAATTGAATAGATGCATTTGCCCATACCTGATTATAAAAATCAGAATTAGATCAAGCAGATAACCAAATCTTATCTTCATGCATACATATATAAGTTTTTTATATGTAAATTTTAGCACAAACAAAACACTATGAGAAATGAAATATAAATAAATAAATAAATTATCCATAAATTAGTTTGAGACAAAAAAAGGGAAAGAAAATTTTCACGGCTTCAAATCAAGCCAGCTTAAAGTAGTGAAATTGTAATAACTTCTAGGCTATGTTTGAAATAGGGGTGATAAACAAACCAAACAGCTCAAGCTCAACTCATGTTCGGCTCATTAAAAACTCGTTCTAGCTCAATTTGTTACGTACATAAGCCAATCTTGAACACATTTTGGAACTTGTTATAAGTTTACAAACCAAGCTTGAACAGTCGATTATTTGTTCGGCTAGGTTTGGTAAGTCTAAAACTATATAAAAATACCAAATTACTTGAGCTTGGTCCGACAAAAGGTTGTTTGAGATCGGCCCGAAGTTTGAACAAATTTTGCAACTCATTAAAATTCTCAAATCAAGCTTAAACAGTTAATTGTTCGGCTTGTTTATCACCCCTAGAGTTTGAAATAGACATTGCAAACATCAAGCGCTTTAATTAAAAAATTCAGATTCAGCTTAGAATAATATATAAATATATTGACAGAGCAATAAGCTGAATAATTAAACACTAAAAACAGAATAAAATTAAATTCAATGAAAAGAAACAACATTTTCCAGCAAAATCAAACACGATCTGATTCGACATTCTACAGCTTCCATCAATGTTCTCAGTTTGGCATCTAGGAAAACGTTAGAAAAACACAAGGAAAATTCCACACAGATTACGAAAAAAAAAAAAAAACGTCGATTCGCTCAGCCGAGCCTATTTCAACCGTTCAGCTACGCTATTTACGATTTTTCAAAGCAAAATTTGACATTTCATTTGATTTTTCATGGTTTTCTAAGGAAGCAAACAAATCAAGGAAGGGGACGGGAGGGGGAGGACTTACCGATAAAAGGTCGTTCATGGTTGCAGGAGCTTGAGAACGAGAAAATCAAATGGTGAATCTATGAATGTGTGTGTGTATGTATGTATATGTATATGTATATGTATATATCTGCAACAATGAGGTAGATCTTTGGATGTGAAGATAGAGAGAGAGAGAGAGAGAGAGAGGATAGGGAGTGTCTCTTGGGACCTGGTTTTTTGGTTGTTGAGTGGGGAAAAAAACCAGGCCTGAGAGAAACTGGGAGACGAAGAGGGAGGTGCTTTGAAATAAGGAGAGATACAAAGAGAGAATGGGATATCAGAGAAAGACCGTGAAGACAGGCGGCTTATTTTGATTTTCGGCAAGGAAATGTTAGGCATCATTAAAAATAAATAAATGAAATAAAATAAAATAAAATGTTACTCGAAAATGGTCATGAATAAATTTTCATCTTTGTATTATATTTTATAATTTATTACATATTTAATTTAAAAATTAAAAAATTTTCATAATCATTTCCATTAAATATTTCTTACCTAAGCATTTGTCGGTTGGCAAATTGCAAATAGCTGGGAAATTTATAAAATAATTACAGTAGGAGTTGGGTTGCTGCTGAGTCATAAGACATAACAAGTTGGTGTGAGGTCTATTAAGCAGGGGTTTGACATGTATTAAGTATGATTTATATATATTTATTTATTTATTTGTTTGAATAGAAATACTTAATTAAGTATTAAGTATGATTTATATTTTTGTAATACTTAATTTTTTAATTAAGTATTAAGTATGATTTATATTTTTTAATTTTAGAATTTTTTTTTTAACACATGCGTTCCCCTCCTCAAGCTTGAATATTTTTTTTTTCAAAAATAATATTTATTTAACAAAATAAAATGTCTATTTTAAAATCATTTTTGCTGGCAAATTTTTTTTTTAAAAAAACAAATGGGATCTAAATATATGATTAATAATATTCGATCAATATGATTTTTTATATAAATAATTTACTTAAAAAATACTAAAAAATAAATAATTTACTTAAAAAATACTAAAAAATAAATAATTTGAATCAATAAAATAGATTTGAGATAATCTCACAATATACTCACTAATCTAACTGATGAGCCAGAGCAAACCGTCTCCATATAAATAACTCTTATAAGAAACACGCGCAACACATGTAATCCGAGCAGGGAATAACTTATTCCAAAGATATGCTAGTCTTCAATTATTTAAAAAATATTTATTTATTTTTTTTTTGTCTGTTCCTTATAAAGTTTAGGGAAAATATTTGAGAGCCACAATTTTTGTGGCCACAATGGCTCAAAACTGCCAAAACGACGACGTTTGGACAGTTTTGAGCTATTGCGACCACAAAAATTATGACCCTCTAACATTGTTGTTTTTATTTCTACAAGTTCATGATAAACACAGCTTTAAAGATGTTTCAAAACGTCAAAATCATTGGATTTATTACACAAGTTAAATATGTCTTAATCAATCCCATAAATATATACATTTTTATACATGTATACAAAAGTATATAGATAAGAGAAACCAAACCCAATTATAAATACTACAATGTTTTAAATTTGTTTAAAATACATATTATCCCTGTAGTTTAAAAAATTATAAATATCTCTTCATCAAAAAATTTTATTTAACTGAAAAAATAAAATTTCTAACTACTCTACCATATAATAATAAAATTACCTTAATTATTAATTAAAATAAAATTTTGACATTATTAAAAAATATTAATTGACTTGATAATTTATTAATAAAAATAAATTTTTTATAAAATTAAAAATTTTAGCGGCCAAGATGTAATTTTTAAAATCATAAGAATAATTTATATTTTAAATAAATTTTAATAAATGTATTTATAATTTTCCACCAAATAAAGAAATAGACATATGAGACTTGCACGATCATAAAAAAAAATTACAATTTCTTGTTATTTTTTTTATGAAAACCTGTTTCTCTTTTTAAAATTATTTTATTGTGAATTTTAAAATATTGATAAGGTTTAATTGCACAAAGTGGCGTTTGACAAGCATTTTTATTTTTTTATTTAAAAAAATTACTGTAAACCCCTTAACCACAACTTGTTTTAAAGTTGTATTTCGATCATAAATTTATACAGTAAATAAAAAGAAGTGAAATGTAAATACATTCTATTTATATTATACCAAACTTTTCTCTTTTTTGTTTTAAATTACTATCTAAATTTATTTTTTAAACACAATCTTAATATTTAAAATTAGAAATTTTACTCCATTCAACTATATACATATGGTCTTTTGTCAAAGGAGTGTTTTGGAAAATTGATTAAAAATTGATTTTTTAATATTTTTATTTTGTGGGTTAAAAATATGAAAGGTAATACGACTCAAAATAAATTAAAAACGAAAAATTGATTTTTAACCAGTTTACTAAAATGCCTCAAAGTATTATGTTGAGTTCAAGCTCCATGAAAGGCGTTGGTCAGTAAACTTCCTTTTATTACCCCATATATCTACATTACAGCCCGTTCTAACAAGTAGTAATATATATATATATACAACTTATAGGTGGTATATGAACAAGAAATATCAAATTTATCTTTTCACTCTTCTTTGATTATCTTGCCATTATTTTTATAGTCTCGCCCAACTTCTTTGTATGTTTCACAAAAAATTACAACCACCTACCATCGGCTTCCCCTACCACCACTTACCATGCCGCCTCTCATTTTTTAACCACTCGCCACCTCGTCTTTCCCCCATTCCCCCTATCCCAACAAGACTCTTATTTTGTAAATGCAAGGGTATTTTGGACTTTAGCTCAAGGAAATAAGAAGAATATAGAGACAATTTTGGTCTTTCATAGAAATCAAGATATAAGCCATTGAAGGCACAAGGGGTGTTTTGACAAGTTGATAAAAAATTAATTTTTTGATTTTTTAATTTTTTTTGAATCATATCACCTCTTTATTTTTTTACAAAAAAAAAAAAAAAAAATAAAAATTTTAACTAACTTTCCAAATCATCCCAAAATAAGACATTAATGGACTGCATTACCCTGACTAATTGTTAGATATAGATAGAATATGCTAGAACCAACTTGGGTGGGTGGTGGGAGATTTCTAAGGAATCTGGCTGGAAATAAGTCATAATTATCTTATAAGTCTAGCCTTATATTCAAGTGTATGAGATATATAATTAGTTTTTCTTTTATCTTTTTTTTTTATATATTTTAGACAAATTAATTATGTATTTCATTGTTATAGGATGGAAACATGGATCTGAGGTGCATGTTATGCCTTGTGGCACATCATGCATGTTTTGGCGTATCATGGAGATTTGTCCCGAGCCTATTTGATGATCTGAACAATTCATATTGTAAGATTCGTCGAATATATCATCCTTGCAACAAATCAAGTCCTAACTGTTTTAAAATAAATTATTAAAATTACATTAACCGTTTATTTTTTGAAAAATAAATATGGTCTTATTTTAAGGTTATAAATAACCAACTGATTTGATTTTCTTCATGGATGATCTACTCAACAAACCTTACACAATGAAAGGTTTGGATCAATAACATGAGCTCGGGACAAGAATCCAATGAGCCTCACAATGTCGTCTTGCTTGCTTTCATTTTTTAAAAAATATTTTTAAAAAGTTTTATTTTTATATTTTTTATATTTTTTTGTTTTTATTAAATTTTTTTAATATTTTAAGTAAATTTTTTATTTTTTAGATAAACTTAACATAAATACATTTAAAAAGTAAAAAAATTATAAAAAAATCTTTTAAAAATTCACTAAATACCAAAAAAAATACAAGAATTTAAGACATTTTTTTTGTATTTTTATGTATTTATTAATTTTTTTAAATATTTTTTTATAATTTTTTTACTTTTTAAATACATCTAAGTAAGGTGCATTTAAAAAAATAAAAAAAATGTTTAAAATTTTAAAAATATTTACTAAAAATAAAAAATATAAAAATTAAAAAACTCAATTTTTTAAAAATTTTATCTAAAAAACTTAACCAAACAACACTGAATAGTCTCTCCTTTCTTTGCTAAGGCTCTCTCAATAGAGCTCTTTCCAACCCAAAAACTGAGTGAATATGTCACGTATTACTCACGTGATTTGTTTATATCTAAAATCATAACAAATTTTTAACGAAAGGAGTTAGTGTCACAATATAAAACCGTAGGCAAGTTGAGTATTGACTTTTGACGTTTATGGAATGAAGTAGAAATGGGTCGTTGTTGAAGGAGAATTTATTATAATTTTTTATTTTTATTTTTTTTTATCTCTATCATTGTTTTTTAGGAAACAATACAAAATAAAAGGTATCAACTGAAATATCTTCCTAATTGAAAAATGTCTTCAATAGGATGAGTGGTTATATATATTTTTTTGTTAGGGGAGATAATAGATAAAAGGACAACTATATCTCTTATGTGAATTCTTCCATCACTACTGGAAAAAAAATTTAAAAAAATTAAGAAGTGAAGAATTATTCGACTATTTTGCAATAACATAGTCAATCTATTAAGCACTGGTGAAGTGCATTTTGATAGTTGTGTCTCTTAGGCATCAATTTTTATAAACCATGTACCAAAATGTTGAATTTTTTTAATTTTTAATTTTTAATTTTTAATTTTTTAAATGTAGTACATGGCATTGAAAATAACATATCTTGTTTATATGTGTTAATAAAAATATTATCACATTCTTCAAATAGTATTAGAAGTGTGGGATGTATTTTTGAGGTCGTACCACGTTGTCGAGGTGATGGTCGAGGTGCCACATGAACGAGTTAGATTGTCGAGATGATTGTGGTATTGCCAAGATATGGTGCGGTAATACCGAAATCCGAAATATTTGAATAAAGGATGAGAGTCCAAGATAAGTGAGGTGCTTTGTTCGGATAAGGATTGGACTCTTGAGGAGTTCATCCATATTTAACTAAGAGTCTAAGATAAATATTGTGCTTGAGTCCTATGAAGTGAGACTTCTAGGGAAAAGGGCACTATTGGCTATAAAAGTAAGGCATCCCCGTGGGTCTAAGGTATGCTTTTACGTGTACACTGTTGATTGAGTTGAGATCTTGTGAGATTATTGACTGACTCGATCGTTGGAGTGACCCTAAGTGGACAAGCCACTGTGGTATTTTTGTCTTCTTGTTGGCAGATGCTTGGTTTAATCTATTATGCCGCGTGCTCTCCAGCTAAGCTCTCTGTTTGGTTGTGAGGTCGGAAATCAACACCCATAATTTGGCGCCGTCTATGGAAACTTAATAGAGAATGGATAGCCAACGCGGGACAAGAGGTAATGGTCGGGGACGACACACACAGTG